CCCTTCTTTCACCCACTGGATCCTTTCCAGCAGGCCCAGTCTGTCCATTACCTTCTGGAAGACCCAGACGAAAACATACCCTCCAAAGTGGAACAGAGGTGGTTTTAGACCTGACGCCATGAACAGCAAGCTTGTGGAGCTTGGCCCCTGAAGTGATGCAGCCTCAGAAGGACAATGAGCTCAGGAGAAGGCTGAGTTAAGTCAGTGGGTGACAGGTTCAGGGAGCGCTAGTGCCGTCCATCCTCACAGCAAAGCCTCAACCTCTGGGAAGGGGGCTGTCTTCACTAAGGCTGGTCAACCTTTGGAATTTTGCACCAGGAGGTCAATTTCGGCATCCCATGACACAGCCCCCTCAAGCCACTGTCAGAATATGGGCTTGGTTGGCAGCAATCTAACGCAGCGTGATAAGCTATTTGTTTTTGCCCTTCAGCTCCAGCATTATAAAGGACATTTTATGAATGATTTATCATGTTATTATGAATGCTGCAAGTCTAGACAAACCATCTCAGTCTCTCTCTTAAAACATAAACACAATCCTTTTCTTTTTTTGCTCCAGGCCCTCTGAGCCGGCTCTGTGCACACACACCTGTGTGTGTGCCTGCAGGTAGGAGTATCATTTCTTCCCACACAAATAAGCATAAAGCTGTAGGTAGCACCTGATGCATTTCCTGCCTTCAAGGTCTCAGAAGCCAATTTCATCCTTTGCACACTTATCCCACCCCACTCCCAGCCCCATGTCATCCGGTTCCAGGATGCATGTGGACATCTCAAAACAAAATTCATTTCTTATTTTCTCCAGTTTTGCAAAAAGATATGTGCCAAATTAGACCAGGAACTAATTAGCCCAGGAGGAACTCCTTATTAGAACGAATTAAAGCAAGGTGCAGGTGTCATGGGTCCAGGTACAAATTAAGATGGCACCTTCAATCTCTCTCATCTCATCCATTCGGGATGTAGAACCTTCCTGCTCCAAGCCGAATTCCCTGATCACTCTTGCATCCACTATGTTTACACAAATTCACAGAATCTGATGCTTAGCTCCTATGCTGAGGCAATCTTTTTGTTGTGAATACAAAATCATATACTGATCAGATTCACCAGCCAGAATGAAATGAATGACTGTACCAGTTAATGAAATCATTTGATTAAAAAGAAAAAAACAAACCCCAACGCCCTGGAAAATATCATCAGTTCCTGATGTTGGGGGTAAACTGTCTCCAAGAGGCACCATGGGACTTTTAGTAAACAGAACTTCATTTTTATTAGCTGATCAAAATAAAACAAAATACAAGACTTCTGCATGGGAAAGAGTAATAGATTTAGTGTATTTGGTGTAGAAGGAGGGAGGAGCTGAACCGGCTAAGATAAGAAGCCATGGTTATACAGAATAATCAAGCCTCAAATATTTCTTTTATTATCGCCTAATCCTGGGAAAAGGACTTTGGGAAAGTTCTGTAACGCAGCCTGTTACAAACCTCACTTCCATCATAAAGGGCTTTGCTGGACCTCAGTCAATCTTCTTGTTTATGACCTGTTCAGATGTGGGCTATTAGAGGACATAGGGAACTGAAATATTTCCATGACAACAGTTTTTAATAAAGGGAAGGAAATGCTAGATTTCTTTTTATGACCAAACTATTCTGAAATAAATAACTGGTCCAAAAAGGTTATTTGAGAGGCTTTTTTTGCTTTTTTTTTAAGCTCAAATAATGTTCCAATGATTAGGTAAAAATTAGAGACTAAGAGCCAAGACTCCTGGCTCCTACTTAAATATATGGATCATGTAATCACTCTATGTTCCGTTCTTCTGCACAGAATACAGATTATAATAAGAATGCCATGTAAAGGTAGTTTTAAGATTAATTAGCTTATGATTATAAAGTGTGTTTTGAGGTAGTAAAATGAAAAGTGTTGTAAAATTTATGAGGTCATTATCAGTTTTATAAAATAAAATAAAAATAAAATGTACTCTGCCTCTATTATGCCTGGAAATTATGGGCTTCAGCTTTTGATTTGAAAACTTTTTTATTTTGGCTGCTACAAGTTCATTTATCAGTATCTCAAGGATCCTAGTTTCAGAAGCACATGAGTGAATATGCACGCGCGCGCACACACAAACTGCCAGCCACCAAGACATAATACGTGTTTCCTGATCCTCGAAGGAGATGACCGGAATCTTTGCTCTGATTATACTTCTTGCTTTCACTCCCATTTTTCACTGATTTAGGACATGAGACCACATCTGCAACCAAGAATTCTTCAACAGTTTCAAAATTCGCTTGCGTGAGTGCTCAGTCCTGTCCAACTCCTTGTCACTCTGGTTAACTGAATTAACAGATAAGCAGGGCTTCCAAGGTGGTCTAGCGGTTAAGAATCCACTTTGCCGTGCAGGGAACACACATTCAATCCCTGGCTGGGGAACTGAGATCCCACACGCCATGGACCAACACAGAGCCTGAGTACCCCAACTAGAGAGTCTGACCCAACACAGCCAAATAAAGAAGTAAAGATGTTTTTCAAAGTTTAAAAAGTAGATCTTGAAAGCTCTCATCACAGGAAAAAAAATTGTAACTACCTGTGGTGATGGATGTTAACTAGACTTACTTGGCTCTCGTTTCACAATATATACCATATCAAATCATTACATTACACACTTGGAACTAATGTAACATTATTGTATTATAATATCAAATAGTATATCTCAAAAAAATCACTGTAGCAGCAACCATCCTATATGGTATGTAGTATTTCACAGATAAAGACATGGGGGCTCTGAGAAATTAAGAGCTAGCTCACGTTCACACGGCCAAGATTAGAGCGTAGGTGTGTCCGACTCAACACCACTTCTGTGCAGTTTATACCACGAAAATCTCTGTCTCTGCATCCACACAGAGGAGTGACTGCATTCAGTGACGCACACCTTCTCCACAACTCACAGAGCTTACACCCCAGCACCAGGGCAGCGCCTGCCCTCCAAAAGTCCATGCAGGAGGGTGGGTAACACGATGTGTACAGTCCCACAACTGGCATCTTAAAGTCTAGAGGTTACCGGCTCTTCAAGATTGGGTTTGTGTACTCAGGATAAAACGGCAACCCTCTCCAGTGTTCTTGTCTGGAGAATCCCATGGACAGAGGAGCCTGGTGGGCTACAGTCCATGGGGTCACAGAGAGTCGGACATGATTGAGCAACTGAGCACTCAGGATGAGTCTCACTTTCTTTTCGGTTCCTTGATGGGCTGGTGATTCTCTAATGGGTGGTGATCTGCAACTATAACCTCCTTCATAACAAGGTGCCAGGTCAGCTGTTTTCGGCCTCAGCAGCCTGTTACAATAAACCTGTGGAGCCTTAAAAAGTACCAACACCAAGGCCCTGTCTCCAGAATACGGGTTTATTTTGGTCAGGGGTAGGGCCCGGGCATCAGAACATTTAAAAATCTCCCAGGTTAGCCTATTGTGCAGTTCAAAGCACTGCTGTCAGTTAATTTTAAGGACAGTTCATTCCCGTTGGGCTTGAATACGATGATACCTCCATTTAAATGAGCATTTTTTAAAAGCTTATGCAAATAACCACCACTGTGCTGCTCCTCCGTTCAGCTGTGATTGACAGTAAGTTGGCAGTTACCGCTGCGGGCTGACGGGGCTTCGAGGAGCATTATTCCAGTAGGAACAAAACATGTTTTCATTAATTTTTTTTTGGCTTTGTTGCCACTTATTTCAGCTCAAAGAACTACCACACTCTAGCTTCAATATAATGTGTTACTCATTTTGTAACATTTTTTCTCCTTTTTGTTTTAGAATATGAGATAAGAAAGCTGGCCTACAATATATCCCTGAGGACTTCCATGAACCGGGCAATAGGGTGTATAAGCCTAATGGCAGCTGGTAATACATAGTAATGGCAATACTTGAAATGATGATGAATGAGGTCCTCACAAATGGAAATCAACTGTAACCTAGATTTGGGCGTTTATAAGACCTGTCTGAAGGCTGGTACCCAAAACATCCACAGCATTTCCAGCTGCACTTGGAGTATCTTGCGTTTTATTCCTCACAGGCCCAGGAGGCAAGTATTTCCCACCTAAGAAATCGATTCCTTTCCTCCTGTTCCTCAGAACTCTCCATTACTTTGCTCTGGTGACTTCCATAAAAGTTTATAATTTATTTCACTAAATGTAAATCAAATGGTGAAACCCAATGGGGACGTGAGGAACCCTGAGCTCTTTCTATAAATGTGTGTACATTTTCTCTAGTTAAGTGCTAAAGTAACACCCTGGAGAATGAAAAGGAAAACAGTGCAGGCACGGTGAAAAGCTCTTTCCTGCTTTTCATCTAAACACCATGTCACACATGTTTTCAGAAAGCAGAAAAGCTAACACATCGACAGACTCCACCTCTCCGGAAGCTCCCTGGACCCTATTTTTTTTCAGCCCATGCTTTCTTGAAGTGGACTGTTTTCATGAGAGTAACAAAAAATAGAGATAAAGCAAGAAAGAAAAGACAGTGGAAATTTTTGCAACTAGCATTTTACTGAGTTCTTACCAGAGTGCTGGACTCTGTACTAAGCCCTTTATTTAACCTACAGAGGAGGTGCTGTTATCTTTCTTTCACAGAAAAGGAGACTGAGATATGAAGGTTAGAATCTCCAGCCCTGACTGGATTCTAGAATGTGCTTAACCAGAGTGAGAGGTGAGTGGGAAGGATAAATTAGGAGTACAGAACTAATAGACACCACTATATATAAAATATATAAATGACAAGAATTTACTGTATAGCATAGGGAGCTATATTCAACAACTTGTAATAACCTATAGTGGAAAATAATCTGAAGTTGTACACCTGAGACTAACAGTGTTGTAAATGAACTGTTAGTTTAATAAGGAAGCTAACTAAAAAAACTAAAGTTGGGATCCTAAAGAGTGAGCCGCTATGCCTTCCTCCAGGGGATCTCCCCAACCCAGGGACTGAACCCAGGTTGAATCTCCTGAATCTCCTGCTTTGGCAGCCGGGTTCTTTACACCAGTGCCACCTGGGAAGCCCTTCCACAGGCACACTAAAGGGCTAAGAACAGTCCTGGCCCTGGCATAATGGGTTTAAGTTTTTCTCTTTGCACGTAATGTCGAAAATTACTTTTCCCAGAAAAAAAAAAGTTATCAGATCAGTTTTTTCATTATTTCTGTTTAGGTTAGATTTCCAGACTCTCCTCCATATGCAACCAGAAGGTCATGCTGTTAAGAAACACACACAGCCATATTTATTTGTTTCCCGTGAGGTGGCTAAAGCCATTTTGTCCTTGATCTGCACTTTGCCTTATGCAGAGTTCTGGTGTTGTGTTCCTCCATAGCTGTTTCCTTTCTCTTCTCAGCCCTCCCGAATACATCTTGGAGTAGAAGGGGAATTTCATCATCTTTCCCATCTTGGTGGAATAGGTACTGCAGAGTGGCCATCACCGCATTCTGAAACATGTAAACTATTTTCTTTACCTTCCATATCCTAAAGATAAACACTGTTCATGACCTTGTATGTTATCTGAAGTCATTAATCAGAAGAGCAGTTTGATATTTCATCAGCTGACACATTATATTACATGTGTTTCAGTGAATGAGGGATGATGGTGAATGGCTCAACTTGAAATGTTACAAAAGAGAGACTATTAGTGTCGAGATAGTTTACAACCCTTGGAACAGGAAGTAAAGGTCGGAAATAAAGAGACACATTATGGTGGTGCTAAACACACTGAAGGAGAGGATAGCTGGGGCTGGAATCCACCCTGGTGTCTGTTAGGAGGGAGAAGCTGAGAGTTGGGTAAGGAGTGGGTCCCGCTGAAGCTGAAACTAGCAGGAATAACAGTAAGTCTACACAGTCCTGGATCTTGGGGAAGGGGTTTGACAAAGGTCTACTGAGCTAGGTCAAGTATTCTAATCATCTGGGCTCTTCTCCGGTGGTAAAAGAGCCAAGAGGTCAGCCCTTATCCATAAAATCGGGAAGAAAAGAAACATTTTCCTGTCAGAGAACCAGCATCAGGAAGTGAAAGCATCTTATTTGCAGTAAATCAGGACAAATTTACAGCATCTCCTGGAAGCTGCAGGGAAGAGAGATGTTTCTACTGAAGAAGGAAGGGTGAATTGAATTAATTACATAGCACCCATTAGTACTAATTAAAGATGTGTAATGAAGGCATCACTGGTATTTTCCTATTTAGGTTGCTCTTGGCTGCTCATTTTCTTTCCGTGAACACTGAAAATATTAATAAAGGCTTTCACGGAATTGCTTTAAACTTTGGAATCCAATTCTTCTTTTACCAGATAGCTCAGAGTACTTAATCTCCTAATTTTCCTTTTATGGGGAAATTCTTCAACTTACTCTTTTAGTTGAGGTCTTATTATATCTATATTTTTAAAGGAGCGCTTGTTAAATTCATCACTAAGGTATTTGTAAGAGGGTTTATCCTACTTCCAGCCACCACCCCACTTACCCAGAAACTAGAAACCTGTGACCTATGAGCGAAACCTATGACCATAGATTTGGTACCAAGTGATGGAGAAACAATGATGAACAAGACCAAGACTTTTTCTTTAAAAAGATGCAGCTCTGAAAGGGAAATAGACATATAAATAAATAATGCAATTCAATACGGTAAGTGCTCAAATAGATGATTATATATAGTTGAAACACGACAGAGTAATTTATTTCTTTTTAAAGTGTTCTATTTAAAGTATTTATTTGCACATGGATATTTACAGCAGCTTTATTTACGTTTACCCAAACTTGGAAACAACCAAGATGTCTTTCAGTGGGTAAATGGATAAACTGTGTTATACCCAGACAATGGAATATTATTCAGCACTAAAATTAAATGAGCTATCAAGCCATGAAAAAACATGTAAGAAACTTAAAAGCATATTACTAAGTGAAAGAAGCCAATCTGAAAAGTACACATACTATATGATTCGAACTTGGGGGGAGGCAGATATGGAAACTCTCTGTACCTTCCTCTCAGTTTTTCTGTGAACATACAGCTGCTTAAAAAATAAAAAGTCTTTAAAAATAAAAATGTAATTAAATTGAAAAAAATATTTATGAAGTAGCTACCAGATGGCACAGTGGTAAAGAACCTGCCTGCTAATGACTCGGGTTCAATCCATGAGTCGGAAAGATCCGCTGGAGGAGGGCATGGCAACACACTCCAGGATTCTTGCTGGGAAAATCCCATGGACCGAGGAGTCTGGCAGGCTACAGTCCATGGGGTCGCACAGAGTCAGACACGACTGACCGACTTAGCATGCATACGTAAGGAATAAGTCTGGCATCCTTTGTGTGGAGGTGGGAGCAAGCTTGAGAAGGATATTGTTCTGAGGCTCTTGGGAAAGGTTAAGGATGGTAACTGTCATTATTTAAAAATCTCCCAACACAGATCCCACTACCTGGGGCCCAATGCTGGAAAAGAGAGACTGAAGAAAGAATTCTCTCTGCCCAACACTTCCCTCCCAGATCACCCTCTTCCTCCGCAGCCAGAATGTGTTGAGGCAGGCAATGAAGTCCCAGAACAATAGCAAGCACATGTGGCCAAATGAGGTGTGCTTTTATCAGAGGCCAGGGCTTCCCACAAATGTTTAACCAACAGGCTTGCTTTTTACCAGTGGCATAGCTACCACAACCTCTCCTTGCTGTTAGACTTGCTGATCAGAGGTCAATAGAGGCTTTGAGAAGTTATTGATTTATGAAGTCGAATTATTTCTCAGTCCTTGCCAAACATAGATTTCATTCCTCACCCAGAGTAATTGGTCTGATATAGTTACTACCTGGAGAAAGATATTCTTCAAAGCCCTACTGTATAATGGAACTTGTAATCCTAACGTCTAAGTCGCTGACATCTGACTTCATTCGACACCCAGATTAATTGCCTTTCAAAGAATATGTTGACTTTGCCACCACGTTAGTCAATGTTTACTTTGGGATCAATAATGCAAGTCAAAACTTTAAGGGTAAAAAAAAAAATCAAGAACTTTAAGGGTGGAGCTGAAAGCCTGCAGATTTAAGAAGCTTCAGACAGGGAGGAACTAAAGCAATGTAATGAGGAAACAAACAAACAAAAATCACATGTGGACTTATAGCAGCAACACTTTTGCTTTGCAAATCTCAATCAGGACTCCTGCTGACGCCAACACTGGCCTGACTCTGGGGTTTTTTTCCAGAAGGAAAATCAGACTTCGGCTGCCCAATTCAGTGAATTGTGCAATGCCGACTGTTTCTTCCCTGCGATGGGAAGTAAATGGGAGTAAAATCTGTGATTCACATCTTTATTAATAGCATTCATCGTGCAAACCAAACGTGGGATACGCATGTCACTCAACTCTCATCACACAAACCATCCTACACAATTTGGACTGAAAAAAGCTTTCTCCAGAAGCTCGCTACAACAGCCTTTTCAAGCAAAACCTGAGTTTATACCTGAGGAAGCTGAACCTCAGAAAAGTTTTGTTACCCTTGCAAGAGTCCTGCAAGGGACAGTGGAGCTCTGGGTTGCCAGGCTTCCCATCACTGTACAACTCTTACTGTCACCCGCTGCTCTGTTCGTTAGTGGACAAACAGCACTGAAGAGCAATGCTTCTCAAACTTTACCTGCAGGAAATTCCCTTGGGATCTTGTGAAACTGAAAATTTGAAGCAGTCAGTCTAGCAAGGACCTGAGATTTGCATTTCTAATGAACTTGCTCCTGGTGGAGCCAGTACTGTTGGTCCATGATCATACTGAATAACAAGGTTGTAGATGGCTGTGTGCTCTATGTTGCTCTCCCAGGCTCCTTACTGTCAGCATCCGTGGTGCCTTTTTCTATCTCATCATGTGTGGATTTTGAACTAGTTGGGACCTTATATCAAGTATTGAATCTGCTGCCAGCTCTTGTGTTTTGAGATAACGCTTAAGGGATTTGTTTATTCACCGTCTTCTTGGGGAGATTTTGTATGTTTAAGCCATTTCCACTCTAATGTCCATTCGTTGTGCTCGGCTGCTCAGTCATGTCCGACTCGTCATGATCCTGTGGGCTGTAGCCCGCCAGGCTCCTTTGTCCATGGGGTTTTCCAGGCAAGAATACTGAAGTGGGTTGCATCTCCTCCTCCAGGGGATCGTCCCAACTCGGATCAAATCCGCCTCTCTGTGTCTCCTGCATTGGCAAGTGGATTCTTTACCACTGAGCCACCTGGGAAGCTCTGGTGATGATTAGCACTTTTTTTCCTTGCTTGCCTACTCAAAAAAAAAAAAAAAAAAGTGCTAGAAACATTTAATAAAGAAACAGAGAACTATTTTTCCATTTTAATAACCAGGAAGATTTTAATGACAAAGACTGGAAAATATAAGCTAAGTATTGGCTTCTCTCAGCTTGCTTGTTGCTCTAACAGAAAAATTTGTGGATTTGAAGACAAAATAACACGCTATGTGATCCTGGACAAGTGACTTCATCTCTCTGAGTCTCAGTTTCATCATCTGCAGAGTGAGGGGGCTGATGCTCTAAGTCCATTTTGGTGCTAATGACCCATAAAATAAATGGAAGCAGTTATAAAATCCTTGGACAGTCTTGCCTTCTCTTGGGTCCCCCAGCTTTACCCATGATGATGAGAGTGGTTCCTGATCACAGCCTCCATCCTTAGGGATGGAGAAATTACAAACTCCTGAAGAACAAGGAAGTACCTTTGTTCTATCCTTCCCTCCATCCTTCTTCGAACTGTTGGTGCGGTGAATGAATGAGTGAGTGAGTGAGTCAGCACAGGGCTATAAGAAAGCATCAGAAACACTAAGTTCCAAACTGCCAATGAGCAGTAGCATAGGTCTACAGAGGAAAGCACAGAAGCTGTTGGCCAGAGGGGTAATGGAAGGCATTTTCAGTTCCTGAACTCAACCCCGGATGCAAAGTAACTCAGGTAAGGTTGCTATTAGCAAAGCTACAATGGTGCTAAGGACTTCAAGAGGGAAGGAAAAGTAGCAAATTTGGGATACTCCTTAGTTTGTATTTTAATCCCCAATGTTAAATTTTAATTTGAGCTGGGAATTGGGTTTAATCAAAAGCATTTCCAAAGGGAACAGAGCTTATGAAATTAGAACACATATGTGGCTTGCCTGGGTAGGTTTCGAGAGAAAAAGCCAATCTCGCAGGGAGGCTATGAACGTTTGGGGATTGTGGGCAGAGATAATTAAAAGAATCATAGATGTTAAATCAGGAAAGCTCCCCATCAATTAGTCCTACTCTTTGTGCTGTTCTCACCGGCAAACTTGAGATGTGGAGACAAGAAAAAGCCCACTGGGAGGCTGCTGACAGGACTCTTCACGCATTGATTTTCATTGCCGGGACTCAGGGTTTTACCAAGCTTCCTCGGTGATGCCCAGACACTGTCAAGTTCGAGAATCTAGCTTTGAGCAATTATCAGTCATTCACACATTTCTGTAAATAGACCTCGATTTCTGGCCTTACTACATGTTGTGTTTATTTAAGAAGAAAAGGGAAGAGAACTGTGGTTAAATTTAGGATGTTATTTTCTGGGGCAAGGTAAGTTTGGAAAAAATAACCCAAATGGAAAGGTCAAATGCATTGGGGAAAAAAGAAAAAAAAAAAAACTTTTCTCAAAGCCCTGCTCAGGGTTAGCTTTGATTTAAAAAGAATCTTTTTTCAGTATCTCAGCATAAAAACATCCCTTTAAAGATGATTCTATAGAATGAGGAAATGGACCTGCTCTTGAAGCCACCTCACCAGCTCAACTCATCCAACCACAAACTACTCCCCATGGCGGTGAGCCGAGAGGGGGAGAGCCTTGATGCAGGTTTCGAGATTGAACCTTCCTGGGGAGGCCTACACGCAGGCGAGCACAGCCAAAGGCCTGGGGTGTCTCTCTTTCCTTTTCTCCTGCTGCTCCTTGTCGAGATAGAATCCTAAAAGGAAGGCATTTCATTGGGCCTGCAGCCACCTCCTCAAAATCACGCTGCGTTTCTTGATGTAAGAGGCTGTTTTCTTCGTTTTTGAGGAGTTTATACTTGCTCCATTCCTAAAGATAGAGGCTGCGGTCAGGGACCCACTCCCTTCTTTGCAGATAAAGATGGAAGACCGATGAGAAGGGAAAACTAGGTTCAAGAACTTTATAACTGTTTCCACTTATTATGTGGATTATTAGCCTCTAGTATGGACTTAGAATACCAATCCCATCATTCTGCAGATGATGAAACCGAGATTTAGATGAAGTCTACTTCCCCAGTGCCACATAGCTTGTCTGTTATCTCCTAATCCACAGTTCTTTCTGAGAGGCTGATAGGTAGACATCTTTTCAGATTAGACTTTTCCAAGATTTGGCAGTAATTTACACACAAAGGCCCCAGGAGAACTGAGGAATCTGTATATTTAGTAGGAACGAGCCCAGTCCCTTCATTGAGACCCGAATTATTGAGGGAATATACATACGGAAGACCCAGAAGACAATGTCTCGATGCCCTTTATAGTTTTGTCGGGGAGATGAAACAGACACAATTAAAGCAGAGAGCAGGGTCAGACTCCACATTGCTGTTGCTGTTCAGTCTTTGAGTCATGTCGAATACTTTGCGACCCCATGGACTGCAGCATGCCAGGCGTCCCTGTCTTTCACTATCTCCCAGAGTTTGCTCAAACTCATGTCCATTGAGTTGGTGATGCTATCTAACCACCTCGTCCTCTGCCACCCCTTTCTCCTTTGGCCTTCAGTCTTTCCCAGTATCAGGGTCTTTTCTAATAAGTCAGCTCTTTTTATCAAGTTGTCAAAGTATTAGAGCTTCAGCATCAGTACTTGCACTGAATATTCACAGTTGATTTCCTTTAGGATGGATTGGTTTGCTCTTCTTGCTGTCCAAGGGACTCTCAAAGAGTCTTCTACAGCACCACAATTCAAAAGCATCAATTCTTTCACACTCAGCTTTCTTTATGGTCCAACTCTCACATCCATACATGACTACTGGAAAAACCATAGCTTTGACTATATGGACCTTTGTTTGCAAAGTGATGTCTCTGCTTTTTAATATGCAGCCTAGGTTTGTCATAGCTCTCCTTCCAAGAAATAAGCATCTTTTCATTTCATAGCTGCAGTCACCATGCTCAGTAATTTTGGAGCCCAAGAAAATAAAGTCTGTCACTGTTTTCATTGTTTCCCCATCTATTTACCATGAAGTGATGGGACTGGACGCCATGATCTTACTTTTTGAATGCCAAGTTTTAAGCCAGCTTTTTCACTCTCCTCTTTCACCTTCTCCAAGAGTCTTTTTAGTTCCTCTTCACTTTCTGCCATTTGAGTGGTATCATCTGCACATCTGAGGTTGTTGATATTTCTCCTAGCAATCTTGACTCCAGCTTGTAATTCATCCAGCCTAGCATTTCACATGACATACTCTGCATATAAGTTAAATAAGCAGGGCGAGAATATACAGCCTTGTAAAATATCCTCCTTTCCCAATTTTGAACCAGCCCATTGTTCCATGTCTGGTTCTAACTGTTGCTCCTTGACCCACATAGAGGTTTCTCAGGAGACAGCTAAGGTGGTCTGGTATTCCTATCTCTGATCATTCACTTAACAAGCTCCTACATAACACTAACCCACTTCCATTTCAAAATTCAGCTCAGGTTTTAAATCCCCCATTTGAAAGATTTTCTCCCAGACAATGCTTATAATTTTTTTTTCCACTTGACTCTTAACATGTGACAGGGCTTGCTTGTGCCATAGCTTGGTAAGAATGTCAAAGATCAGGAGAGAAGAAATAAGTATACTTTGTAAATGGAAGTTCTGTGAATTGTGGCCAGAGAGCAAACAGTGGCAGATTCTAAGTTCTAAAATGGTCATGCCAACAGACACCCATTCCCATGTGCTTACTTCAAAATGTAACACATATTCCTTCTATTCAAACGTGAGATCAACATTCTTTCCCCCTGAAACTAGACAGAAGCTCAGGTGACACCAGCAGAGGCCAGGCTCTTAGTCTCACAGCTCAAGGAAATGAATCCCACCAAGTATCTGAATGAGCTTTCCTTTAATATATGTATTTATCATATTTATCATTTATTTGGCTGCCCTGGTCTTGGCTGCGGCCCTGCGAGTCTTCAATCTTTGCTGTGGCATGTGGGATCTCTCGCTGTGGCAGGTGAACACTTAGTTGTGGCTTGTGGGATTTAGTTCCCTAACCAGGGATTGAACTCTGGTAAATCCCCCATTTGAAAGATTTTCTCCCAGACAATGCTTATAATTTTTTTCCACTTGACTCTTAACATGTGACAGGGCTTGCTTGTGCCATAGCTTGGTAAGAATGTCAAAGACCAGGAGAGAAGAAATAAGTATACTTTGTAAATGGAAGGTCTGTGAATTGTGGCCAGAGAGCAAACAGTGGCAGATTCTAAGTTCTAAAATGGTCACGCCAACAGACACCCATTCCCATGTGCTTACTTCAAAATGTAACACATATTCCTTCTATTCAAACATGAGATCAATGTTCTTTCCCCCTGAAACTAGACAGAAGCTCAGGATTGCCTCCAGCTGACACCAGCAGAGGCCAGGCTCTTAGTCTCACAGCTCAAGGAAATGAATTCCGCCAAGTATCTGAATGAGCTTTCCTTTAATATATGTATTTATCGTATTTATCATTTATTTGGCTGCCCTGGTCTTAGCTGCGGCCCTGCAAGTCTTCAGTCTTTGCTGTGGCATGTGGGATCTCTCGCTGTGGCAGGTGAACACTTAGTTGTGGCTTGTGGGATTTAGTTCCCTAACCAGGGATTGAACTCTGGCCCTCTGCATTAGGAGTGTGGAGTCTTAGCCATGGACCACCAGGGAAATTTCCTGAAAGAGCTTATAAGCATGTTTTCCCCCAGTTGAGTCTCCAGATGGGAGTGCAACCCAGCCAACATTTTAACTGCAACCTTGAGAGACCCTGAGCAGAGAACCAGGTTAAGCCATGCGGATTCATAGGAAGTGTGAGATAATTGTGCTGTTTAAGTCACCAAGTGTGTGGGAATTTGCAGGGCACCTATGGGTCACCCTGCTGGGGAGGCCACGTGGAAAGATCACATGAAGATAAAGAGGCACCCCAGGGAGCCCAGCTGTTTCAGCCTTCAGTCGTTTGAGTCCTCCCGGCATCAACGAGTAGACATGTGAGTGGCCTTCAGATGATTCCAGTTCCCAGACTTTGAGCCCTGTCATATGAGGCCAAGAAGAGCAGAGATAAGCTCTTCTCACTGAGCCACATCCAACTATAGATTCATGAACAAAATTTTAAACTGTTTTGTTTAAAGCCACTAAATTTTGGAATAATTTGTGACGTAGTCAAAGCAATAAGACAGGTTTAGACGCTTTCCCAGCTCAGCTCCTCGCTGACCCTGACCTTCCTTTCCTGGTGTTTCTTCATTTCTGTCACTCTGATGACGGCTTCTAGCCTTTTGATGTTGAACACCCATCACATCTTGCTTTCTGACTGTGGAACATTGGTTACCACTCCGGCAGACTTTTGTGTATGTCCCATACCTTGTACGTTATTTCTACTTTGATCCAACCGAACCGTTCTTGGAGCACAGGTAAGTTTCAGATGGCCCACAGCACTCTGCCTCTGTGTATTTAATGTAATGTACTTACCTATGTCAGTGTCCATTAGCCTCAATCCAGGCCTAAGCTCCTCCAGGTCAGTGGATTTGTAATTCTGGATCTAACTCAGGATGTAAGATGCTCAATCTGTGGCGTGAATGAGTAAATAAATGGATATAAGTTATTTTGCTGCACGGAAAGTAAAGATCTGTTCAGCATCTTTGCCCTTGAGGAACTTACAATCTGGTAGTAAAAGGTGTGGCCCCAATTATAAATGCTAGGAGAGGAGAGACAATAGTATTGGCTTGGAAGACTTCAGAGAAGAGAAATTTGGACTTGACATTGGGAAGAAATTTGTTGGATTTTGAGAGCAAAGGAGACCAAAAGACATTTCAAACTGGAGAAGAGCAAGACAAAATTATGGAGGTATGGGGAGAGAAGAGGAGCAGACTGGTGGTTTGGGTTTTGGTTTTTTTTTTTGCTGTGCAGCAGCACCATAAGGAATCTGAGTTCCCCGACCGGGGATGGAACCTGTTCCCCCTGCGATGGAAGCATGGAGTCTTAACCACTGGACTGCCGAGAAGTCCCAAGACCGGCATTTTAAGGACCTTAAAGAAGTGCTCCAGTCAGCTCTCTTCTGGGGAGAAGTGGTAATGCCTGTGGCTTCTTCACTACCGGATTCCACAGCACATGCTTATGCGCTTTGGTCCAGCTCTTTCATCTAGATATATCGTCCACTGAATACCCAGAGTTTTCATTTGTAGGAACAATGCTTGTTAACTATTGTGTGGGCTATTTATTAACCTGTTGTGAGGATGCCACCAAATTATTCCATATCAACCCCAACTCAATGAAACTCCAGTTCATCTCTGTGTAGATTAACTTGATTATGAATTAAGGTCTACAGTTGCAAAGCCAGAACACACAGATTTCTTAAGCACCGAGACTCATGAATAAAGTGAGTTCCATGACTAGAGGCTACCCACACAAAGTTCATGTAATCCTAGGTGCTATAATGTTAATAACCCTGACCTCACCAGAGCTGGTTGAGGAATAATGAGAATAGCAAATGTGTGTGTTAACTGGAAACATCTGAGTGGCATGTTGTTATGGCAAACAAATATTATACAACTTATGTCAGAGATTTGCAATGACATAAAAAGGGAAACAGGACCATCCTCATGGAATCTAAATATGTTCAGAACACTCACAAAGCAAAATTCTTAACATAGGAAGAGTGACCGAGCCTCATGATACAAGATTAGGACACGGCTCATCCGGGGAACATGGAAATTGAGTAGAAGGAGTTGAGTCAGGTTACACGACACGTGCGTGCCTGCCTGCTCAGTCTCTCAGTCATGTCCCGCTCTGGGCGACCCTATGGAGAGGATCCTCCGTCCATGGGGTTCTCCAGACAAGAATACTGGAGTGAGTTGCCATTCCTTTCTGGGAGATATGGACAGCCAGTCCTGCCTCTTTGTATCCACGGACTCCATCCACATCCTTGGACTCAAACCCACGGGTAAGGAGGGCCAACTGTACAGGTTATTTTATGCAAGGAACTTGAGCATCCTTGGAGTTTGGTGTCTCCAGGGGTCCCGGAGCCAATCTCCTGCAGATACTAAGAAAGAACTGTATCTACACTAGGCTGGCAACACATCAGTCAGGGTAACCTGAGTTATGCTGTGTAAACAACACCAAATGGCAGGGACTTAAAATTCTGGGTACTGGTGACTCAGACTGTTTCTCTGTCATGCATCTACTAAAGGGCTCTATTCTGCTTTATCCTCATGTTAAAAAAAAGAGGACACAGGCCAAGGGAAGCGCCATCTTTGTGTTTCCAAGATTCCCCAGATGGCCAGTGTAAGAGAAAGGAAAACATGGTATTATGCACTGGCTTTGTACATTCTTGCCTTGAAGTGACCGGTATTCCTTCCAGAGACATTACATTGGCCAGAGCAAGTTACTGAACTTAAAGAAATGCCAATTCTAAAGGAGCCGCAGATGTAAAGAACAGACTCAGGGTCACAGTGGGGGAGAGAGAAGGTGGGATGACTTGAGAGAGTAGCATTGAAACATACACATTACCACATGAAAACTGCATAGCCAGTGGGGATTTGCTATGATTCAGGGAACCCAAAGCAGGTGCTCTGTGACAACCTAGAGGGGTGGGATGAGGAGGGAGGGAGGGGACATAGGTATATCTATGGGTGACTCCAGGCTTCCCCGGTGATTCAGCGATAAAGAACCCACCTGCTATGCAGGAGCCCCAGGAGACATGGGCTCGATCCCTGAGTTAGGAAGATCCCTTGGAGGAGGACATAGCAAACCACTCCAGTATTCTTGCCTGGAGAATCCCGTGGACAAAGGAGCCTGGTGGGCTACAGTCCATGGGGTCGCAGAGTTGGCATGACTGAAGCAACTTAGCGTGCACTCACGGCTGATTCATGTTGATGTATGGCAGAAACCATCACAATATTGTAAAATAATTATCTTCCAAATAAAATCAAAATTACATTAAAAAAAAGAAAAAAGGACATTACTGGTATAAAGTCCTGACAAGAAATTAGTAGTGAAAAGTAAATGAAGAAAAGCTAAAAATAAAAAAATAGCTATTTTATGTTTTAAAAAAGAAATGCAAATTCTATAAATAGCAAGGTCCTACTGTTCCCTGGTAGCTCAGATGGTAAAGTGTCTGCTTACAATGCGGGAGACCTGGGTTCCATACCTGGGTCAGGAAGATCCCCTGGAGAAGGAAATGGTAACCCACTCCAGTGTTCTTGCCTGGAAAATCCCATAGACTGAGGAGCCTGGTAGGCTACAGTCCATGGGGTGCAAAGAGTTGGACACAACTGAGCGACTTCACTTTTACTGTATAGCACAGGGAACTATAGTCAACATCCTTTAAAACATAATGGAAAAGATAAAGCATAATGGAAAAGAATATGAAAACGAATACATATATACATATAACTGAGTCACTTGGCTGTACAGCAGAAATTAACACAACACTGTAAATCAACTATACTTCAATAAAATTAGAAAACAATAAAGAAATGCAGATTCTACCATATGCCTGGGGAAAGAAGTTACAAAACTGGGTGAAGAGCGTCCATGAACAGCACACCAGCGTGCCCCAGCAGGCTTCCCATCCCCAGCACTGCTGACATTTGGCCTGGATGTGCCTTTGTTGTGGGCTGTCCTATGCAATACAGGATGTCTAGCAGCATCCCTGGCCTCTGACCCCTTCATGCTAGCAGCAGCCGCCTGGAATGGTGATGACTAAAGATGTCAGCACATTCCATTTGCAGTGGCTTAGAACACTGCGCGGCACAGTCTGTACCCTTAGGCACTCTGCGGTGTGACTGCGAAGCTTTGAATCTCCGCCCTTCCTCTTACTAGCTGTGTGACCTTGAGCAAGTTACTTCACCTTTCTGGGTTTGTGTCCTCAGATGTAAAACAAAGGCACTTCTGTCATCTCGTTGTTACAGGGATTGAATGAGGAAACACAATATTTGTAAAGTGCTTAGGACAGTACCCGGCATATGGGAAAATGTATAAAAATACACCTCAGATTTTTTTTAAAAAAGCATCTTTTTAGAGTGGCCTGAGATATGCAGCAATATCTCTGGGTTTAGGCTTATTAAGGTTTTAGGTCACAATGAACATGTCATTTAAACAATGAGTCATCAGGACTTTATATTAATTACATACAATAAATCTCTAGTACTGTGTGAGTGACGTTGGCAAAGAACAAAGCAGTTCAATCCCACAGGGTTAGAAATGAGAAGGACTCGGCTAGCTAAGGAGAGTGGCACAATAGACTGGTATTAAGCTTAACGCTGCTTCCGCTTTTTCCTTCATGGGGTGTTTGTAGAAAGTGTTTTTAGGGGGCAAGAATTCAAAGCCTATTCTTTTTCGTTTGAATGCTGAGTCAGAGCAGAGCACTAATAAGGTTTAAGACAAATCAGTTTGAACCTGACAAGCCCAGGACTTCGAAAGGTTGCTGCTCATGAAAAGTAAAGTATAGTAACTCTTTTAAGTCCCACAAAGTTAGCCTAGATACTCAACTACCGCATTTGGTTTTTTGTTCTTTTTTTGCTTGAGTTTTTTATTCTTTTTTGCCCAATTATTCCTTCAAAAAAAACAAAGAAAATATTTTTTACCTTACAGTACTTTTACACGTATGGTAGTTCACTGTGACAGCTGGTAGACAGGGGCTGGCTTCACGTGAGTGGGCAGGAAGTGTCGCTGACTGAGGAGGGAGGGAAGGTGGAAGATGCGGAGCTGAAGGGCTGTCAGCAGCAGCAGGCGGAGGGCAAGCTGCAGCTAAACTCGCCGGACACCTATGGCACAGGTTCTGGCTCCTTGCTGGAACCAGATGCATGTTTGCACCTTCGGAAGTTTGCCACTTGAAGGTTCGTATGCAGGGAACTTACAGTAAGGCCACTGAGGGGAGCGGGCAAGAGTCAGGACAGACTCGGAGGCCAGGGGACCCCAGGCAGCCAGCCCAAGTCTCGCTTCAGGACGCACTTGGCACTGCAGTGCAATTCAGCAAACCTTTGCTCAGAGTCCATCCGTTGGATGGCACTAGTCTGAGACAAGTCCAGGGCTGACCCATAGTATCTGCCCAATTACATGTTTGTGCAATTAAAGGCACTGAACTGCAGAACTAGCTGGCTTTGAAGGGAGGATGAGGAGAGGGGAAGCTTGATTTCCATCTACAAGGAGGGGGTCTTAAACGCATTTACTTCTGGTGCCTCTTGAAACCTCACTAAAATAACAGTGGAGGGGTTTTTGAAAAGACACAACCCAGAAGAATGGGGAGCCTGGGAGAGGAGACAGCAGCAACCAGATTTTGGAAGTTGGAGAAATGGCTGGTGAAGGGTCTTGCTTGGCAGAGCCAAGAAAGCTGAATTTGAAACTGGCAGTGGGGAAAATAGAGACCCAATCTGATTAATAACTCAGAATGAATGCCTCAGAGCTCCAGAAATTAGCAGCAGCAGGCACTTTTGAAATTGAGGGGAAAAAAACCGATGGCTAAGGAGGCTTGTTCGAGTCTATCAAAAAAGCAGTCAGATCCACAGATCTTCCCTCATTATTCCCTCCCTTTGGCAGAAGACTCAGAGGTTTTCTCTGAAGGTGATCTCTGGATGAAGAACATGAGTGTTGTAACGGGTGGGGCATTAGGTAAATGCAAGCCTTCTGCACCCCCTGCTCACCTCCTCTGGGATACCAGAAAGTCAGGCCCCAGACCAGCACCTTCGGGGCAGGAGACTGGAAGAGTCTGCCCCAGAGACCAGAGTCAGCTGTAAAGAATCTGCAGATGGAGAAGAAACACCGAAAGGCACGGATAATATTAGGCTTCCCAGTGCAATGGTCCTGCCAGATCATAGGTTGAAAAACCCTAAACACATTCCCAGAGCTTTCTAAGAATATTTTAGTCTCCAGTTCTTATGTATGAATCAACAGCCAAAGGCTACTGCCTGCCAATGAAAGTCTCAAACAAGATAGGCCAAAGTTAACAAATAGAAAAACGCTTCATGGAGGAAACAAACTGTGCAGGTAGAAGAAAACTTGCTTTTTAAAAAGTTTATTGATATAAAGAAAAGCTTGCAACCATGAAACACAAACATGATGTTATCAAAAGAGAACATTCAGAGAACAAATATTTTGTTAAAAATTTAAAATATGAAGACATAATTTTAAAACAATAAAAGGGCTAGAAGATTAATATAGTTAGGAATATTTTTCAGGTGGCAGAGCAAAAATAAATGAAAAGAGGAGAAAATATAATAAAATTGGAGAAGTTGTACAGGATGTCCATAGGAAAAGAGAACAGAAAAACCAAAGAGAAGATATCATCTATGAAATAATTAAAGAAAAATTCTCAGAACTGAAGGATATGAATTTCCAAATTGAAAGGGCCCATCAAGTACCCAGGACAATGCTGAAAATAAAAACACAACCAAGGCACTCTGTCAGGAAGTGCAAAACCACTTGGGACAAGGTAATACCCTAAAACTCAGAGGGCAAAAGCAGACCACAATCAAATGATTGGAAACTAGAATACCTTGTGAATCAACATGGTAAACCTCAAATTTTAAACAATTAAAGCAAGCTTCAGAAGAATACCATTGAAACAAACTTAAAGACATGCTAAACTATATTAATTTTTCATATATTAATTGATTAATTCTTCATATATTAATACATTTATGTATATATGTATCTGTAAATAAATGCATAGAGTAATAAACCTCAAATTCAGAATAGCTATTACTTCTAGGGGAATATGTTATTACAGAGAGATACATAAAGTACTTCAAATATATATATATATANTTCCAGTGAGTCAGTTCTTTGAATCAGGTGGCCAAAGTACTGGAGTTTCAGCTTCCTCATCAGTCCTTCCAATGAATATTCAGGACTGATTTCCTTTAGGCAGTTTTAGGTTCATAGTAACACAGAGGAAGGTATAGAGATTTCCCATTTACCTTCTACCCTCATGTATACCCAGACGCCCCCATTACCACTTCCATTATCAATATCCCCACCAGAGTGCTGCATTTGCTATAATCAATAAACCTATACTGACACCTCATAATCACCCAAAGTACATAGTTTATCTCTGGGTTCACTTTTGGTGCTGCATATTGTATGAGTTTGTACTTATTTACTTCAGTCGTGTTTGACTCTTTGCACCCCATTAACTGTAGCCCACCAAATTCCTCTGTCCATGAAATTCTCCAGGCAAGACTACTGGAGTGGGTAGCCATTCCATTCTCCAGGGGATTTTCTTGACCCAGGGATCAAACCCAGGTCTCCTGCATTGCAGGTGGATTTTTTACCATCTGAGCTATCAGGGAAGCCTGCACATTCTATGGGGCTTACACAAATGTGTAATGGCATATATCTACCACTACAATATATACAGAGTAGTTTCACTAGTCTAAAAATCTTCTGCTATACTTATTAAAAATAAGGGAAACTTGAATTACATATGGCAAAATGTTAAGGTCTGACATCTGGATTAAAGGTGTACAGGTGTTTAATAATCAAGTCTCTAAAGTATTCCAAAACTGTTAAAGTAGTTCAAAATAGAAAAGCTCATTGTTATCTCTTCGGTGACCTTCTGAAAAAGCACCTGAGGATTATATATATATATACACACAAACACATTTGTTTTTAAATTTCTCCACCACCAAAGAAACGTATATGGGAGCATTCCTCTCCCTTCTGCATCTCTCAGCCTTTATATCAACTTGATTTCATCAGCATAAAAGTGCATATAGGATCATTCCATGTAGTTTGTCCTGGGTCCTGAGCTCACCTAGAAATGGGAGCCTGGGAAAGGTATATGGATGGACTGATGGATCACTGGGAACTGATCTTTGCTGAAAACTCAGCTAAATACAAAGCCCTTCTGATGCTGAGTCAGCAAGCATTACATTCCCAGAGTCCCAGTATGACTGCCAAGCCAGGTGACTGATTTATTAGGGATAAGTAAACCTCCTTCTCATTACTTTTTTCTTACTGCTTTTTAATCATGGGGGTCCTCAGAAGAGTACCACGATTTGTTTCTAGCTGCAAAGGTGACTGGGTAAAGTAAGTAGGGATCTCGCTTGTCAGAGATTGGACTGGCTATATCTCAATCAATTGGCCATATGTATCATAACTCTTGACACTCGAAAAGCTCTCTTAAATCACAAAAATTGTTCACTTTACTTCTGCTCAAAGTCTTTAAAGGATCAAAAGGTAGAAGACATGCTAGAGTTGGAGGACAGATGTCTCTGGCATTGCCCAGCTCAGCTCCTCACATATCTTGTTCAAGTCTCACTCTCACCTTGTGTTGGGTCCTGGAAGACTTGGGAGTGGCATCACTGATCTCCAGTACTGGGGCTCTCATTCATCAGACAGAATCCTACTGGCAGGAATCTGTGATGAGGAGCCTGGGAGAGTTCCATGAGCCTGTCATTCCTGAAATATAGACTCAATCTCCATTCCAAGCAGAAATGGTCTCAAAGGTTCCCATAACACACATAATTGATTCAGTGTTAAAACAGTTGAGAGCCAGTGAAAATTTACCAGAAAAGAGAGAGCTCATTTACTGTGACTATTTTGGCCCCAAACAGTGGTTGGAAGGCAGGCTCTAGGGACAAAAGCTTGTCTTAAAAAATACCCAGCAGATTTTGAAAAGGAGGAAGAGAAGAACGTAAACCTTGAGGAGGTATTAAAAGGTATTACCAGGATGGCGCCAAGATCATGCTCTGGTCAAGCAGGATAATGGCCGGGGTTAACCTCAGGCCTTTCAGGTTTCAAGTGTGCAGGGTAAAAACGATAGTAACAGTGCTTTGCCGTGTAAGTCTGAAGATGACACTGGCGACTCACACCGGTAGGATATCATCTACTTATTTTCCCGTAGGAGCCATAGATTTGTGTGGGCTGTTTACTCTCTCCCTGTTCCTCCTAACAAGAAAAGAATGTTCTTTGAGAGGACTGAGCAGCGTTGGGGCAAAATGTGTCTGCACAGAGCAGGTAAGCAGCTTGCCTCCTTTGTAATCCCCTTGGGCCCCAGCTTCCCTCGGTCACATTAATAATGCCTGAAGTTCCTGACTCTAGAGACTCTTTCCCTTTTCTGGCCCTGTGTTCTGTGGCTGGTCCCTTCTCCAAGCCCACCTCTCTCTGATCTGCCTTTAAGCCCCACGGACCCTTCCCAGCTCTGGATGAGCTTCTTCAGCTCATTTTGGCAAAAATCAACTCATTTGTCAAAGCCTCTCTCAGTTGTCACCTCCAATATAAACCCTTCTGGGGCTCTATCCAGCAGAACCAGCTATTCTATGCTCTGGGTGGCCAATGGCATCTTGCATTCATGTTTCACATGCATTTGAACTTTAGGAATTCAATAAGTACTGTCTTTTTTTGTGAACATGCACGCTTGGGTCTTCGACCACGAACCCTACCCCTCCCCACCCTACCCCAGGCCGGAGACTGAATCTCAATTGTGATATAAACAGTGCTTGCCTCAGAGAAGGGCTCACTAGAAATTTGGTGGATGAAAAAATAAACATCTCTAGGCCAGAGAAATTAGCCCACGCTGAAGCTGGATCACGAGTGGTTTGACCTCAAATTTTAACAGCACGTTGAGGTAGGACTATCCTGGTTGTCTAGTCCAGTAGCACTCAGGATCAGACCTGCGGTAGTGACTGCAATTGAAGGAGGCGGCATGAATCTGTGGAGACAAGGTTCAGTACCAGGGGGGCAAGTAGGAACTGATTTGAAATTCTCAAACACTTTCTAAGGAAAACAGTAATCCACTTCCGCCTGGAGTTTAAAATAAAATAGCCTGTTCTAAACTATACTTTAAAAAATTGTGATTATTCAAGTGTCTTTGATTGTTTTCCTTTTATATCATTGTGGGGGTAGGGTGGATGATGAATACTTGAGTAATGTCTGAAATGTTCCTTGCATCTTAAGTTAATAATTGAGTTGGTGGCAGGAGCTGCCTGAGAAGGGGGGGTCACAGGAGGCTGCTGTATTATTTAAGAAACCTTACAGCTTGCTCCCGTCCATTAGCACTAAAGAAAGGACCCAGCGTGGGTACACTGTTATCTTTAAACACTCACTGAATGGCACTCACTAAATGGATGCTTGCTACGGCCCCAACAGCCAGTGGTACTAAAAGCACGATGTAAATATTCACAGTGCAGGAAGGCCCCTGCACACTAATGCAGAAAACTGTCAGCAGCCCCTCAAAGCGAAGACTTTATTTTTAGCATTGGGTATAGAGCTGTGAGGCTTGCCTGGTGACTCAGTTGATAAAGAATCTGTCTGCAATGCGGGAGACTGCCTGCAATGCAGGAGACCCAGGTTCAATCCCTGGGTTGGGAAGATACCCTGGAGAAAAGAATGGCAACCCACTGCAATATTCTTGCCTGGAGAATTCCAAGCACCAGAGGACCCTAGCGGGGTCTCATGGGGGACTCAAGAGTTGGACATAACTTAGCAACTAAACTACTACTACTATAGAGCTGCAAAGGACCAATTGCTCCATGCTGCATGGTTCTTAAATGAAGATTCCTACAAATATTCATCCATCCCCAGTGCCATTGTCCATGGGGATGAGCCAAAGATGTGCCAAAGGCCTTGTTATTGAATGACTCGCTGCCTCTAATCCCTGTGGCTCTGCTGAAGCTCTGGTGTGTGTTTCCCATCTGGCTGCACCAGAGGCAGGAAGCATTTCAGGATGCTTGGCTTCTTAACTCTTGGGGTGCCTGCTCTGGTCGTTCTCAACTCCTACCAAGAAGTTTATTGAAAATATGGCTGCTTTATAAGGTGCATGGTAGAAAGAGAGTTGGTTTGGTTACCAGCTCATTGGGATCTTCAGCAAGAGCCTTAGCTTCCTTCCCCTTTGCCTTACTGGTGAAATTCTGCCAGGACTTTCCACTCTGTCCTCACTCCTCTGTCCCCAGGAGCTTCTCCGGTGCACTTTATAGTTTACTGTACACCACCGATGTCATAGAAGCACAGAACCCGAGAGGTGGAGAGAAGCACAATCCACCTTACGCAAAAAGTTAAGAGTGAGCACTGCATGGAAGGTGAGATTCCTGCCTCTTTGGAGTGATTTGGGGGATTCAACAGAATCTGTTGACTTTGTTACAGATCTGGATTCTTGAACTCTTAAATAGAAATTAAGAGGCCAGATGGTGGCTCAGCTCTAAAGAATCTGCCTGCAATGCAGGTGATGCAGGAGATGTGGGTTCGATTCCTGGGTTGAAAAAATCCCCTGGGGTAAGGAAATGGCAATCCACTCTAGTATTCTTGCCTGGGAAATTCTCTGGACAGAGGAACCTGGAGGGCTATAGTCCATGGGGTCACAAAGAGTAAGACATGACTGAGTGACTGAGCATGCAAAAGAGGCCAGACGAGAATTCAGGCAAGGTTTTGTTGGGAATCACGAGGGAGAGAAAATAAGTAACACGTTCCCTTGCTCACTCCCTGGTTGCAAAGGGCAGTGAGCTGGTTCCTTAAATGAGGTCAGGGTAGGGGCAAATCGCTGGGCCGGGCTGGAAGGGTGGGAGGTGCTCTGCCCACCCCCTCAGTGGTGCTGTGAGCAGGGATCAGGCATGGTGACCTGCTTTTTCTCCTGGCACCTCAGAAGTGGCAGTTGGGTTTTGACTGTTTTGTGTCTTATTGTTCATACTTTGCCCCAACTGCACATGTGTGCAGTTATTTTTAGTCCCTTATCGTTTCTTTGTCTTCTTTTGCTCAAAGAGACTTTTGTCCAGGTGCAA